GCAGTTAAGGTTTCATGTTGATAAAATCTCTAAAGATAGATTGAAGTTAAGTGATTTCTAGTTTATTTTGATATCATTAAATATTTAGAATCAYAGGATTAAAAAACAAACTGAGCAACTGAGAAAATGTTTTCCGGGAAACTATCCCTGTTGTTGGTTTGGTTTTCATTTGGAGATACCGTAAAGATTTTTAACCAATTTCTGTTACTCAAGACCATACTGAGAGGAAAAAACAGGTCGAATAAAAGACCTTTAGTCATGCAGTGTTGCAGCTTCCTTCCTGTTGCATAAGCCCGTCATCTCTTTGGCTTGAATGACAGATCAATATGATGGCRACTGCCTCCTTTTGTTACCTAACAAAACAAAACAAAACMAAACCTAGGAGTATCTGCTGTGGTTCCAAATTATGCAAAATATTTTCTGTAGAATATTACTTCTTAATTTCTCCTTTTAACATATCTCAGCCCAGTATTCACTCTTCTGCAGCTGCTCTCTCAGCTGCTTTGTTCTCTGGAACACTCACAAAAAAAAAGTAGTATTGATAGAATTGATACACTACTTTGTAAGCATGGTTTTTCTTTATGGTCTATGCTAATTGATGATGAAAGATCTTAAAATATTTCAYCCGAAACAGAACTTGTGTTAAAGATTAAAAACATCCTTAGTGATGGCATGATGTCTACKGGCTTCTGCTCTGAAGACAAATCTTGCAGGAGCCTCTAGATGGCATAACAAATGGGTTTAGGATACGTAATGTTCTATAACCTTAAAATATCACTCCAGGGGCAGAGCCAAAACTTGCTATTACTTCCAGACAAAGGCATGAGGAAACAAAAATAAGTCCTGCACTTTTTTTTTTCCCTCTAAGATATTTTTTTCCCTCTAAGATAGATGGCTGTACCTTGCACCCTAGCCAATGTTTTGTAATTTGCAAGTAGAAAATTCAGACACACAGAAATGTGCTACTGGCATTTTCACATGGATTTATACAGCAGGTATATAGGGGGTCATAAAATTGTGCACTGTATCTTCTGACAAAATAGGAAAAAAAAAAGAAAATAGATGTTAATAAATTTCAGTAGCCAAGGAATGAATGTTTGCATTTTATACTCACATTTGTTATTTTCTTGATTGTGTTAATGGCTCAATTAGCTGTTTTCTTGAAGCAACAAACCTGATTTTTTTCAGAGTAGTTTAGTTCTTGAACTTGAATGTAACAATTGCATTTAAAAATTAACAGCCCAATTAAAATAACCTTACCTATTTTCTACTATTCTTACCATAAATTGACATAACTGTGAAGCAAAAAATGTGTTAGGTGTTTCATCTTCCATGTATTTGAAATGCAGTATTTGGTTATCTTTCTCCTTTAATCAGCTCCCAACTTGAATTTCACTACTTGCAAGATACTAAAAGCAAATGTGGGGGGAAAAGTATTTGTATTACTTTCAGATATTGGAAACTTTTCTTTTGGACCTTCTTACTTTTTTACCACCAACTGACAATCAAGTATCTTTTTTTTGTTGGTTTTTTTTTGTATGATGTTAGTATAGGAACTATTAATAGGAACTGTTCTTCAGACATGCCTGGGGAATGAAGGTCTCTGTTTGTTCACACAGTCTCTGATACATGAAGTAGCAGTGCAAACTGCCGGGTACCACTGTGCCAACRCGCCACAGTGCTAACCAGAAAATTCCTTCCACTTCCAAGTGTGATTTCTGGTGTCACTGCTGCTTGTGATTCTGCTTTGCGCTCTGCTGCTTTTTAGTCTTTCTTCTTCTTTTGATACATAAATTTTGCTTATGACATCACTGCAATAAGCACTGAGATCATTCTAAACATTTCCTAACACAGGACTTACTGTTTTATAACTTCTGGCTCATACTAAACTATTCTACCTCCATTACTGATGTTCTTATAGCACCAAGGGCAAGACAATGATTGGCTTCAGCATAGCATCAAGATATGGAATTATCTGTTATTTCTCTGCTCTTGGTTGCAAAACAGCCATTTATTCTGCATTTGGAGAACTTGGGTCCTTTACATGTCCCTAACAATAGCTATCACTCAAAAGATTTTGGGAGTCTAAATATTCTTAAGCCCATAGGGGCGGGTTTCTTTCATCTCCATTTAGCAATGCAGATGCCAGGTGTCTGGTCTAAGCAARTCTCCCTCCACCGACACTTAAATAGATGAAAGGAATTTCATCTGAAGAGGCATAACTCTCAGTTACAGAGAGTTTAGACTAGATATCCTAACCTATACATGGCTAAAGTTAGGAGAGAAGAACCCCACCTGCACACCTACCTATGTGGAGAGCAGTTATRGGGATCTAGAGCAGAAAGGAAGAAAGAGGTTCAGTGTAAGCCCTTATCATTAGCACGACTACAGAATCCTTATCTAACAAGGGAACTAAAATATATCTTGAAAGGAAGAGGGAAAAGGTAGGGCTATTATCCATGGGAAATACCTAAATTAAGACCACTTGCTTGGTATTTCCAAATGCGGTCCTCTGCAGTTTGCTGCAGTGGAACAATTTCAAAAGGAGCAGAGGGAGTTTCTGCTCAGTTTGATGTGAAGGTCACTGTTTAAGAATAGGTGTTTGGCTTCATCTAGGCTGCAGACAGAACTGAATCCAGATCYGACTATCTAGCATAAAAAATCCAAATCAAATAGAAGGGAATTTAAGCCATCAACTTGTCCCCAAATTTTCTTAAAGATGACTCATCCACGCAGTATGAAGGTTGTTTTTTATGTGCCTACTASCAGTTTAGAAGCTACGGCTACCATGAGGTTATTGGCCCTACATTAGAGGCCAGTCAGCAAAACCTTATTTTTAGCCTGGAAAAAAAACATCAACCCTAGTCTTACAGTTAAAATAATGGCTTCTGAGCTGACTGCCACCATGCAGGAGTAAATTCTTGAGGTATATCAGCTAATTCCAAGAGGCATCATCTAAGGACACAGTTGCAGTCAGAAAAGCAAAAGTTGTATAAGGATTCTTAGAAAAGGCCTAGGGAGCAAAACAGAAAAAGTGATTGTATCAGCAGGTAGATCCAAGGCTCACCTACACAGTGGATATTACAAGCAGAGCTGATTCCCTCACCTGAAGAAAGGATACAGCAGAAACGGAAAAGAGTMAAAAAGAGCAAAAGGAATGATTAAAAATATGGAACAGTTGCCATGCAAAGATGACCTGAAGATCACTCTGGTAGGCAGACTGTTCAGGGGCACACRATGTAGGTCTGAAAAACCATGAGTGGCACCAAAAAGGAGAGCAAATATTGACTGATCTCTGTCTCTACTAGTGCAAGAAATAAGGAGTAATAAACAAAGCTGATAGGAAACAAGTTCAAAACAAATTGAAGGGAGTTGTTCATCAAACACTAGGAAATAAATCACAAAAAAAAAAACCCCTTTTTGCCGAGAGTTTTATGCATATAAGGAACTGGCATGGAATCAAGGGAAGATCCACCAAAGCACCTGACAGAGAGATAAACTGGAGACTACTGCACTAACTTCTATGGCTTGCCCAGTCTTCAGATGAAAATAGCTGCAGTCTGAGGCAGTAGCGGGAGGCATTTCACAGAATCACAGGATGGTTGAGGTTGGAAAGCACCTACAGAGATCATCTAGTCTAACCCCCTGCTCGAGCAAGGACACCCAGAACATGGGGCACAGGGTGGCATCCAGGTGGGAAGATCTCTAGAGAACGGGACTCCACAGCCTGCCTGGGCAGCCTGTTCCTGGGGTCTGACACACGCTTACTCTGCTGCTGCTCTTTGCTACAGAGTCCAGCTTTGCTCTTCTTTGACAGAGAGACAAACTGTACAGAAGCAGATTCTTTAAATAACTCAAAAATTCTCCTGAAAGCTCTGAAAAACAAAACTTCCTAGTCATCAGACTAAGATGACTAGTAAGAAACTGATGCTGACTGCTGAAATCCTTATCTTTCTCAAAGACAAATAGGAAAGTGCAAGGATTTTTCTAAAATTTTCTGAAATAACCAAAGATAATTCAAGATATATTAAGAATTAATGTGGGAAGTAAGAGCCTGCAAGCTCTTACTACCTTACTCAGAATTAGGGTTTTCTTCCTAATCACTAGCTGGCTGTCTTCTCTGGAGAAATATGTCATTACTTCATGCTTTTTAGATTCGTAAATTCTTCAAGGCCAGGACCATAGCATGCTCTGAAAATCACAGTGCGCACCTACAGTATTACAATTTCTTCCAATTAACAAAGACTGTTATTTAGCAGATAGAAAAACAACAGAGAATAAAATCTTTCCTCTTATGCAGCTTTTATAACATAGGTTATCATTACACCTGATGCATCATTAATATGTTAAGGTTTTCCTCCACAAAATCATGCCGCCTTGTTACTGTTGTTTTTTTATTCAGATGGCCTTTCAAAAGGTTGCTAACAACCACGTAGAATATATTGGATGGAAGGAAAATATTTTGTGTTTTGAGAGAAAAGAAGCCTTTTATACATCTTACATCCCTGCTCACATTAAACCCCCCAAAAAGAGAAGATTCAAACAGTTCTGCTTTCCAGAGCTACATCAAGCCGTGCAGAGCGACCCAGGTGCATTCCCGAGCTCCACCTCAGGATGAGCCYGGGCTTCTGCAGGCCCTGAGGGTGTTTGGACACGCGGGCCGGAGGGCAGCGATGGGGCTCCTTGATGGGGTTCCTGGTGCCAGGGCTGCGTGGAAGGGGAATGGGCCCACCCTGGCAAGGGGAATGGGCCTGCGGAGGGGCCGCGTGTCAGCAGGGACACGGCCAGTGCCCACGCAGGGGCGGCACACATGCCGGATCCCTGCCGTAGCGTATGGGTTATGTGACACCCCGCAGCGCACATGGGCAGCCAGCAAGGGCGGCAGGGCGCAGCCCGGCACCAGCGGCGCGGGCAGCCGCAGGGCCCCGGCGGAGCTCCCTGACGCCCGGCGGGGCGGTGCTCCATGCTCGGGAACGCGCTGCCCTCCCCTTCCCGGCCCTTCTTCCCGGCCCTTCCCGAGGTGGCGCAGTCGCCTGCGGCCCTGCGGAGCCCACACCGGGTACAGGGCGGTGGGGAGGGCGGTGGGTGCTGTGGCCGCCCCCAGGCCCAGGCGCAGGCCCGGGCTTGGGCTCAGGCCACGCTCACAGGCGCTGCTCGGCCGGGCTGCGGCTCTGGCTGCAGGGGCGGCTCTGCGGCGGGTTTGGAAGGCAGCGGAGAAGGACGGGGAGCCCCCTCCTCCTCCTTGGGGCAGGGGAGGACACGCTGTGCTGGTGCAGCCCGCGGATCCGCGTACGCGCTGCCTGTTCTGCGCGGAAGCCACGGGCATTTGCGTTCGGGGCGAAGCGCGCGAGCCCGCYCGCGCTGGCAGGCGGTGCGGCCGGGCTGGGTGCGCCAGGAGCAAGGGCCAGGAGCAAGGGCGTGGGCCGGGCCCGCTCCGGGCRGCGTGGCCTTGGGGAGCGCCCTTTGCCCCGTGCAGATCCGTGCCACGAGCGCGCTGCTGGCGGCGAGGGGCACCCGTTCCTTCTGCCTTGGCCTCCCCGCTCGCATAACCCACTGCTGTCATTCCCATTCACAGGCCCTGCTGGATTCTCACACCACTACCTAGTTTGAGAAGATGGCAGGTAGGAGCCACATAGTAACGAAAATGCATTCGACCCGGGTCCCTGGTGTGCTAGTAGCTGCAGTGCCCTAAGAGTTTAGCTGGAATATTAAGCTGCCATTTCCTTTAAAGCACTGGAATTACTCAAGTGGCTCAAACGCTTTTGAAAATTCTAGTGTCTCCAAACACTGTGTCTGAGAGCCCTCAACTCCACCAAAATTAAACCAAACTAACAGCTTGCAGAATTACTCTTTCCACTTTGAGCTGCTTCCATCTGCGACCACTGAATTGCTTAATCAGTGGTGAGAGAACAGGAACTGCAAAGATATAGTGGTTTTTGATATTCCAGAAAAAAAATACTGAGCAAGAGAGCAGTAATTTATTTAAACTGTTGTTTAAACACTTTAAATAAACTACTATGGTATGCATCTGTTAATTGTTATATTTATGATAGCACCTGATCACAAATTGTAATGGTCTTTTGGCAAAGTTGTTGTTTCGTGAAGGACACTCAATGTCCACTGAAGAAAGAGCTGCCTCTTATAACCCCGTGTATAAAAATGAGATATTGTTTTTTTTCAAGTCCTCAGCTCAGATSCTATCAAGTACCTCTGATACCTCAAAGATGGTCATCTGGAGCAGACAAGCCTGGTGTCCACTGCAGAAATTGAATTCAGGGGAGCTTTTGTGTTGACTGTTAGGAATCAAGGGCTCAATTAACAGTTCCCTGGAATTTCCCTGGAACAGGCTGTCCAGAGAGGTTATGGAGTCTCCTTCTTTGGAGATCTTTAAAACCCGCTTGGATGCAGCCCTGTGCCACATGCTCTAGGTGACCCTGYGTGAGCAGAGGGTTGGACTAGATGACCTCTGAGGTCCCTTCCAACCTTGGGCATTCTATGATTCCGTGATTCTATGAATTTCCTTCTCTGCAGCATTTATGTATAAACTACTGTTACGCCTCTGAAATATTTCACGTTCCCTTTTCTTTAGTGATAAATAGTTTTTTAGAGATTTATTAACATTGAATGGTGATTCCATTTAAGTGCTCTGCCTGTACCCAAGAAGATTATGTGTAAGTAAGCTCTGATACACCTTATTGCATTAATTTAAGAAGCTGCATCCCTACCYGTCCTCTAGTCCCTCATTTTAGCTTAAATGCATTTTATCAGTATGCACTTACAAGGAAGGCATGTTGATTTCAACTGAAGCCACTGTGAGGATGCCAGACTGGGAGAGAAAATGGGCCTGTTTTGCTCACATCCCAACCCTCACACTAACACAGCACTAATCTGACAGAGAGGTGGGCTCGGGAGCTAAGTCAGCAGAAATTTTTCCCCTCTTGGGCAAGGGTTTTGGAGGGAGGTAGAATCAGATGAGCACAAATGCTGCCTCTAAAACAAACCAGCTCAGAGCAGGAGTGGGGCATGGCTTGGATTGAGCATCGCCGAGTAGGGCAGTGCAGCCTGCTGTGGAAACATGTTCATAGTCACTGACATCCACCTAAAATGCCTGGTGTATCACAAGGTTTTTGCAGGTTGGCATTTGTGGATGAGTTCCTCAGCAAGATGGAGAAAACAGCACAAAAGCCTGAACAACCAAGCCCTGACTTCAAAAATTGCTTCCTACTGGCCTACCTATAAGGTGTCTTCTGCTTTTCCTTCTGCCTCCAGGGAGGAAAGTCCTAATAGTCTATGCACATCAAGACCCCAAGTCTTTTAATGGATCTCTGAAGAGTGTCGCAGTGGAAGAACTGAGCAAACAGGGCTGCAGTGTCACCGTGTCTGATCTCTATGCAATGCAGTTTGAGCCAAGAGCAACGAGAAATGACATTGTTGGTGAGACTACCCAAAACACATTTTTTCAACAATAAGAATGAGATAATCTTTCTTCTTGTCTGTCCTGCTGCATGAGCAATTTAAAAGGATACCAAAAAATAGTTGCCTTTTCTTTATGCTGTTTACTCTTTGACAAACAAGACACGTGTTTTTCTTTTCAGGAAGCACTGACTAAGCAATGTCAGTGCTGGGAAGCCAACATGCATTATTCTGACTTAACTAAATACATTTAGCAGAAATGATTCCTCAACAAACAAAATGTGAAATATCTATATTTGTAAAACAGCATTTTGCCTTTAGACCAACGTGAATGAAGGAAAACACTATTTTTGTAATATTTGCAAGCAAATGAAGAGGCCCTCTGAAAACTACTTTCTCTTAAAGAACAGTATTACAATGCATTCTGCAAATTACACGTTTGGGCTTTTGAGCTGGTTTGGCACTTGCCTGTATTGATAGTCTATGATTACTAAAAATGGTGCAGATAGGCTTGAGACACATAGTAGTGCTGTTATTAAGCTTATATGATATTTTCATGAGTAAGCATGTCTGCTGTACTCTTAATAGCATTTATATTCAGTATTTTTCAAGTTCAGAAAGCACAAAGCCATAAGATAACCTGATGCAGCTGGCCCTGTCTCCTTGAAATCAGAAAGAAATAGCACATTTGTACCAGCACTGACTAAAAGCAGAACCCTACTGCCAACCAGACTTGGGCTTTTGTGTGTGTCCACTCCTCGATAGGACCCTTGGCTCACAGTGACATTTCTGAGAGGGGAAAATGCATTTGCCCACATGTGTTCAGCACCAATCCCTGAAGTCTGTTGCATGTACCCTACTGTGCTATATTGGAGTTTAATTCACACGTTTACTACTTCTACCTGTCTTCCTTGTCCTTCTCCTTGAGGCTGATGATCTACTAGTGGAATCAGCAGGAATGAGTACATATGTGTGACTTGGACGTATAGGAATCACCTTATCCAGCTGTGAGTGGAATCTGCCAAACCGGCCAATATTTGTTCTCTGGCACCTGCCGAGTTTCCCAGTTACCTGTGTAATTCTTGTGGCCCTGCAGTGGTTTCTATAATCCCTATTGCAGAGGCAGAGCAATTACCAAGTGACATCTTAAATCACCTATCTGCACTACTGAAGGGTAGAGCCAAGCTTAGGCCTTCCTTACTGCACTTATATGTTACTACAGAAACATCAAAACTTTATTACMCTTAGATACCACCTTCCTCTCTGGTTAAAATCAAATTACAATCTGCCAGCTGCAATGATACTGAATATTCATGAAAAGGAAAGTGGGAAAAAATAGAAAGCAGTAACTCAATTTAGAAATTGAGTTCACCAAGGCGAAGTCATGTCTGACGAACCTCACAGCCTTCTATGATGGGAGGACTAGCTGGATGGATGAGGGGAGAGCCGTGGATGTTSTCTACCTTGACTTAAGGAAGGCTTTTGACACCGTCTCCCATAATATCCTCATATGGAAGCTCCRGGAGAGTGAACTAGACGAGTACATGGTGAGGTGGATCGAGGGCTGGCTGGATGGCARAGCTCAGAGGGTGGTGATAAATGGGGCCGAGTCCAGTTGGAGGCCTGTGGCCAGTGGTGTCCCCCAGGGGTCAGTRCTGGGCCCTAGCTGTTCAACTTGTTTATCAATGACCTGGATGAGGGCACGGAATGCACCCTGAGCAAGTTTGAAGACGACACCAAGCTGGGTGGAGTGGCCGACACTCCGGAGGGCTGTGCTGCCATCCAGAGGGACCTGGACAGGCTGGWGAGTTGGGCAGAGAGGAACCTCATGAGGTTCAATAAGGACAAGKGCAGGGTCCTGCACCTGGGGAGGAATAACCCCAGGCACCAGGACAGATTAGGGGTTGACCTGCTGGAGAGCARCTCCACGGAGAGGGACCTGGGAGTCCTGGTTGACACCAAGTTGAGTCAGCAGTGTGCCCTCGTGGCCAAGAAGGCCAATGGGATCCTGGCCTGCATCAGGAGGAWGTTGCCAGCAGGTCAAGGGAGGTGATYCTGCCCCTCTCCTCAGCTCTGGTGAGGCCGCACCTGGAGTACTGTGTGCAGTTCTGGGCACCCCAGTATAAAGGCTTCTCGACCCAAGCTTCTCGACCCAGGCTTCTCGAGAGGGTCCAGYGAAGAGCTACGAAGATGATGAACATCTCTCATATGAGGAGAGGCTGAGTAAGTTGGGCCTGTTCAGCTTGGAGAAGAGAAGGCTGAGAGGAGATATGATTAACATGTATAAATACATGAAGGGAGATTGTAGGAAGGAGGGGGCCAAGCTTTTCTCAGTGGTGGCCAGTGATAGGACAAGGGGTAATGGGTGCAAGCTGAAACACAGGAGGTTCCATCTCCAGGTGAGGAGGAACTTCTTTMCTGTGAGGGTGACAGAGCAGTGGAACAGGCTGCCCAGGGAGGTTGTGGAGTCTTCTTCTCTGGAGGTCTTCAAAACCCACCTGGATGCCAYCCTGTGCCACATGCTSTAGGTGYGCCTGCTTRAGCGGGAAGGTTGGACTAGATGATCTCTAGAGGTACCTTCCAACCTTGAATATTCTGTGATTCTGTGGTTCTGTGAAATGTAGTGTGAAGTCTGTATTTAATTCCTGTTTTGCTGCAGCCCTAGAAACAGAGCTGGCAATGACTACTCACTGTCACCCGCAGGTTGCTTACACAACTCGGAAGTGTTCAACTATGGAGTTGAAACACGGGAAGCCTACAAGAGAGGAGAGTTGTCCAGTGATCTGATTGAAGAGCAGAAGAAGGTGCAGGAAGCAGACTTACTGATTTTCCAGGTCATTATTTTAAATTGTATTAAAATATGAGTTGTAATGTACAGGATTAAACAAAAGAGAAACAATAATAAGTGAGAAGATGAAAGTTTTCAATAGGAACATTGAATTTGAAAGRACTTAAAACATGAGGTAGTTCTACCCTCAGCACAAAATGGTTTGCAGGCAATTTCTAGGGGTGAAGGATTTTCTGATACAGGGTGTATTTTAACATATCAAAAGTACTGGATGACACTGGTGAGCATGCTGTTTACTCTTTGACAGACAAGACACGTGTTTTTATTTTCAGGAAGCACTGACTAAGCGATGTCAGTGTTGGGAACCCAACATGCATTATGTTGTGCTAGCACGTTGTGATCTTTCCACGTAAATAATGACTTCACGGTAAGGGTTGTGGAAACAGCTCCCTAGAAGGCAGTGTGGGCTCAGCAGCGCTGATCAGCCTGACCTGTGACTCATGTGCCAGGGCTGCACATGTGCAAGCGGCAGCAGGGCTGACAGGGGCATTAAAGGGGCCCCCGGAGCGTCGCCTTCGGGAGCTCACGTGTGGTACAAAATGAAAATAGTCCATCGAAATGCACAGCCCAGCTGTGAGCCTTGGGCATAGCCTGTGTATATTCCAATGTTACATTCTAGATTAAATTTAGAATGTGATGATATATGGAATAAATACTTCACTGTAAGACCTCATCACTTTCACAATAGGCTTTCTTAGTCTCAGATAAGTGTAATAAATTGTGGAGGAAGTGGATGCTTCCTACTTTCGGTCTTTAAAATGGTATGAAGTGTTCACACAAAAAACAAACACAGAAGCAAAAGTGCTGAAACATGCTGTGGAATAATTTAAAATAAACTGCAGACTAAACTGCCCACTTCTACAACTAATAATGATTGCCCAATTTGAATTAAGCCACGTGCACATTAAGCCCTTACAGAATGCCTTATGTGATGTGTACAAAGGTTTAGGAATAACATCCTTGAGCAGCAGTCCACAAAGCATTCATGAGAGTGCAAATAAGACTTGATAATTTTAAGCTATGGTCCCATGGGCTAAATAGAGGTTCTAGGAATACAGAGGCCTCCTGCTAAAGAGGAAGTTTTCCTCTCAGTAAAGCAGTAGTGAATCTGGATCACCCTGTCGGTAGAGTATTAAAGAAAGTAACTCATTGATAAGAGTCTATGACATTTTTCTTGGAAAACTATCAGATTAGAAGTGATCACAAGATGTCAGTGCTGGTAGTAAGACTGTGTGTGTGTATGTTGTGGCTGTATTTTCCATTTGGCAGTATGTTGTTAATGCATTTCAGCAATGGGTGACACTATTCTGTACAGACTGTACAGTTTGAATCAAATGGCAAGTTCCCGCTGCATCACATTACAACCTTAATTTATTAATTAAGCTCTCACATTCACCATGCTGTTCAAAAAAACCTACAAATGCACAGGTTAAGTACTTGAGACTACTAACTACAAAAATCATCTGAATTCATTTTGCCAAACCTAGTTAACTGCCTCTCAACGGAGGACTGGAAGAAAACATTTACAAAATCTGAATGGATAAAGATAATAGTATGTTGCTTGTAGACTAGGCTTAAGGATGTCTCAGATTCTGTATTAACAAGTAATTTACTTTTTGCCAAGTTTCCCTTGTATTGGTTCAGTATGCCAGCAATTATGAAGGGCTGGATGGACAGAGTCTTGATCGAAGGATTTGCTTTCCAGTTTCCAGATTGTTACACTTCCAGTTTGCTCAAGGTATGTTTTCAGTTTTGCTTTATTATGATCAAGGTCTGTGCAGTGATCTTTAGGTCTTTCCCTTCCAATGCATTTGCATAAAACTCTTAGTTCAGACTGTCCTGAAAATAGATGACAGTTTTTTCTATGGAGGAGCAACTTATTTTCTGACGTGTCTGGATTTTTCAGGTCCTCCCTGAATTTAGACTTACAATACCTAAAGTCTTTGAAGTTGAACTGCTTAGCAATCAAAGTGTAAATCATATCTAAGCAGCACTCAATAATTGCTTYAGCAGTAAGACAGGCAGATAAAGAAACTCTCTTCTAGTCCATCAGCAGACCACCTTCCCTTAGCTTTCTCCAAAACACCTTCCAAATATCAGTCTTTTGCAATATGTTCCAAGAGCCAATGGTCTAATGATGGAGATTTCAGCTGAAGTAGATTAGAAGATGGTGGATTATCCATGGCCAAACACACCAGTACAGACTAGTGGAGGCTGTAGGAGGTCAACATCTTAACTTCTTTCTTACAAACAAGCAGATAYTGCACAGCCTTCCATGCACTGAGGTATTCCTGGAAGTACCTCAGTACTTCCAGAGTACCTGGAAGATTAAGCAGAGAATCTACATAAGCTTCAGCTTTAAAATAAAGATTTTTCAGGAAAGTATAGGGGAAAAGTTTGACCTACAKATTAGTGACAGACTTTTCTTTTTGTTTATTCTACAAAAATTAAGAAATGTCACAGGCCTGTAGCCCTTCAACTTTAGCCCTCCCTTCAACTTTAGCCCGAAAATATAAAAATATTTTAAGGGACAAAATATTCTGGCATGCTTAAAAAGCAGGACACAATAATTGAAGGTGAGGTAGAAACTTTGTGCCCACTCAAGTCTGGAAAAAAATAAAAAGAAAAGCTGTATATATGACTGCCTCACTGAGAGGAGTATTCCCCAAGCTTTGTAGCTGCAGGCTGATTGCAGACTCAAGGCAACTGGGATACTGCAATGAGTCACAGAATGTCAGAGGTTGGAAACGACCTCTGGAGATCACCTTGCTAAGGTAACCCTGGAGGTGACCCTGGTGGTCCTGGAGGTTCTAAGGTGACCCTGGAGGTCACCTGGAATGTGTTGCACAGGGTCACATCCAGACGCTTTTCCAGAGAAGGGAAGTTCACAACCTCTCTGATCAGCCTGTGCCCAAAGTGCTTGGTCACCCTCAGTAAAAAAGTCTTTGCAGTGTCCAGGAGGAACTTCATGTGTTTCAGTTTCTGTCCTTTGCCTCTTGTCCTGCTGCTGGGCAGCACTGAAAAGAGTCTGGCCCCATCCTCTTGACACCCTCCCTTGGATGTTTATACACATTGATAAGGTCCCTGTGAGGGTGCACTCTGTCCCTTCATGCAGGTCTATGCCTTGAACTATAGAAGCTAAARTCAAGAGGATAGATGATGAGCACAMGTCTATGGGATACAGAATCAGAAGAAACATGGGATTTTTGGAACATCTGATGAAGGAAGTCTAAAGAACACAAACTGTACTCAGCTTGCTTCTTGGCAAGTGACYAGCAAGTCCATATTTGAAAAGGTATTGCTGTAGCATTCATTTTCAGCTTTCAAGATAGAGAAGAATAGAAATATATTCAGGCACACAGCCTGTCCTAGACGTAGTCTTCCAAACATTTCATAGGTGAAAGCAGGTTTAGTCATAGAATCATAGAATGCTTAAGGTYGGAAGGGACCTCAGAGGTCATCTAGTGCAACCCCTCTGCTCACGCAGGGTCACCTAGAGCACGGGGCACAGGGCTGTGTCCAAGCGGGTTTTAAAGATCTCCARAGAAGGAGACTCCACAACCTCTCTGGGGAGCCTGTTCCAGGGCTCTGTCACCCTCACTGTCAAGAAGTGTTTCTTTAAGTTCCTGTGGAACTTTTGGTGTCTCAGTTTGTGGCTGTTTCCTCTAGTCCTGTCGCTCTCCACCACTGAAAAGAGGCCGCCCCCCTCCTCCTCACTGCCTCCCTTGAGGTATTTATACACGCTGATCATGTCCCCCCTCAGCCTCCTCTTCTCCAGGCTGAACAGGCCCAGCTCCCTCAGCCTTTGCTCATAGGGCAGATGTTCCAGGCCCCTGATCATCCTCGTAGCCCTGCACTGGACTCTCTCCAGCAGCTCCACATCCCTCTTGTACTGGGGAGCCCAGAACTGGACACAGTCTCCAGATGTGACCTCACCAGGGCTGTGTATAGGGGGACAATCCCCTCCCTCGACCTGCTGGAGACGCTCTTCTTAATGCACCCCAGGATCCCGTTGGCCTTCTTGGCCACCAGGGCACACTGCTGCCTCATGGTCATCCTGTCATCCACCATGATGCCGAGGTCCCTCTCTGCAGGGCTGCTCTCCAGCAGGTCCACCCCTAATCTGTACTGGTGTCCAGGGTTATTCCTCCCCTGTTGCAAGGACCCTGCACTTGTGCTTGAACTTCATGAGGTTTCTAACGGCCCAGTTGTCCAGTYTGTCCAGGTCCCTCTGGATGGCAGCACCGCCCTCAGGGCTATCAGCTACTCCTCCCAGTTTGGTATCATCAGCAAACTTGCTGAGGGAGCACTCCAGCCCTTCATCCAGGTCATTGATGAATAAGTTGAACAGGACCGGACCGAGGACCGACCCCTAGGGAAACCGCTAACTACAGGTCTCCAACTAGACTCCGTGCCACTGACTACCACTCTCTGCACCCTGCTACTGAGCCAATTCCTAATCCACCTTCCTGTCCGCTCATCTATCCCACACCTTTGGAGCTTGCCCCAGAGGATGCTGTGAGGGACGGTGTCAAAAGCCTTGCTCAAATCCAGATAGACCACATCTACCGCTCTGCCCTCATCTATCCAGCTAGTCACTCCTTCATAGAAGGTGATCAGGTTAGTCAAGCAGGATTTCCCCTTGGTGAACCCACACTGACTACTCCTGAGCACCTTCTTGTCCTCCATGYGCTTGGACACAACAGCCAAGATGAGCTGTTCCATCTCTTTTCCGGGGAGGGAGGTGAGACTGACTGGCCTGTAGTTACTCGGGTCCTCCTTCTTGCCCTTTTTGAAGACTGGTGTGACATTGGCTTTCTGCCAGTCCTCAGGCACCTCCCTCGTTCTCCAGGACCTTCTGAAGATGATGGCAAGCAGCTTGGCTATGACATCCGCCAGTTCCCACAACACCCTGGGGTGTATCCCATCAAGGCCCATGGATTTGTGGGTGTCGAGTTTCCTTAGATGCTCTCTGACCCACTCTTCCCCTTCCCAGGGCAAGCCTTCCTCTCTCCAGCTCATTTCTTGTGTCCCTAGGGCCTGGGATTCTAGAGGGCTGCCCCTGACAAACACCGAAGCAAAGGCGGCTTTCAGCAGCTCTGCTTTGTCCGTGTTTTCCGTAACCAGGGTACCCACCCCATTCACTAGTGGACCCACGTTCTCCCTGACCTTCCTTTTGTTGTTGATATATTTGAAGAAGTTTTTCTTGTTACTCTTAACATCCCTTGCCAGATTCAATTCCAAATGAGCCTTAGCTTTCCTTGTAGCATCCCTGCATTCCCTGACAACATTCCTTCATTCTTCCCAAGTGGTCTGTCCTTTTTTCCACATTCTATATATTGCTTTCTTCTGCTGGAGTTTTGCCAAGAGCTCCCTGCTCATCCACGGAGGTCTCCTGCTCCCTCTGCCTGACTTCTTACGCACAGGGATGCACTGTTGCTGGGCATGGAGGAAATGTCGCTTGAAAACTAACCAGCTCTCCTGGGCCCCTCTTCCTTCTAGAGCCCTAGCCCATGGGATCTTTCCCAGCAGGTCTCTGAAGAGGCTAAAGTTGGCCCTCCTGAAGTCCAGGGTGGCAAGGCTACTTACTGCCCTGCCTCCTCCTCGTTGGATCTTGAACTCCACCAGCTCGTGATCACTGTAGCCAAGGTTACCCCCCACCTCCACATCTCCAACAAGGCCCTCTCTGTTTGTTAGTACGAGGTCCAGCAGCCCACCTCTCCTTGTCAGCTCCTCCACAACCTGCGTCAAAAAGTTGTCATCRACGCACTGCAGAAACCTCCAGGACCGTTTGTGCCTCGCTGTGCCGTCTCTCCAGCTGATGTCAGGGAAGTTAAAGTCCCCCAGGAGAACCAGGGCCTGYGACCGTGAGGCAACCTCCAGCTGCCTGTAGAAGGCCTCATCAGCCGCCTCCTCCTGGTCAGGTGGCCTGTAGCAGACACCCACCACAGTGTCTCCCACGTTGGCCTGCCCTTTAACCCTTACCCACAAGCTCTCCACTCCCTCATCATCCACTCCCAGGCTGAGCTCCATGCATTCCAGTTGCTCTCTCACATACAGARCAACTCCACCACCTCGCCTTCCCAGCCTGTCCTTCCTAAAGAGCACATAGCCCTCCATGACAGCGCTCCAGTCGTTAGAGCTATCCCACCACGTTTCTGTGATTCTGTGATTCCTAGTCCTGGTATCAGTAAATGCAATTTCTTTTCCTTTTAACTCGTCTCTGTCTAACCCCATAGCACGCACCCCATAGGCGCAGGTCTTGCAGCTGGATCTCACCGCCACCATTGCTTGAAAGGTCAGAGGGGAAAAAACACCCTCCTTCAGAGATTCGTGCTACCCTTGTTCCCCTGAATATCTCTTGAACTATTTAGTCATTTTTCTTTGAACATGCCTACCCTAAACATGGTTTTCTTAATTCCAGAATAAATTAGCCCTGTTTTCTTTCACCACTGGAGGAAGCCAAGAGACGTATACAAAAGGAGGTATCAGTGGTGATATTCGCTATCTCCTATGGCCCATGCAGGTATAATATGAATATTTGCTTGTTATTTGCCTCAATTTTTACTATGAAAATTATTGTTAACATTTTTACTATTATTTATTTTTATAAAGTATATAGAAATAGTTCAGTTGTCAGTTCCAAGCAGCCTCAGTTTATAAGTTGGCCCCTAAAATCCTGAGAAAACAGAGTTTTAAAACTGCTTAGTGCCCTTTCCTCRAGACTGGAGCCTGGGGAAGCCTCAGAAGCTGCCTGCTTTTGAGGTCCTCTGGAGCCACAGGGTAGCTCTAGCATGAGATGTTGTGCTGTGTTCCCTATAACTCGTGGAGGAATTTGGGGGGGGCATTCACACAGGATCCTAGTGCTCAGGGTCAGCAACAGCTAGCATGTCTCCTCTTGTTGCTGCCCTCTTGCCAGAGGTAGCAAACATGTTCTGAGAAGGTTCAGGTGGGGAGGCCAATGGTGGCAGCTCCCCCTTGATGCAATCCAGCCCCTCTGGCCTTATAAGCCCTGAGGCCATCCAGCTGCCCTGCCTTGCAAGGCGTCGTAAACTGCAAGTTCAGCTACAAACAGGTCAGGAACAAACAGAGGGAAGACAGTGAGCTGAGCTGGGCTAAAAGGCTCTAATGCTCCTACAGAATAGGGGGGCTAAACTGGAGACAAAAGGTTAAACAGTTTCAGAAGTAGGTGAGAAATGTAGTAGAGTTCTGGTACAGTCCATGGAGATTCAAACAGGACAATGAGGATTGGACTGTGTGGGATGCATGCATATGGCAGCTGAGGATTAGAAATAAATTCTGTAGAGCAGAATAAGTGAAGTTAGCCTTGGTTTTCAGGGTATTGCATGTCATTCTACATAATGGCCAGCCTTTTCCGACTCCTAAGATAGGTAATGAATTTTCCAATCCATTTCTCTCTCCCTTTTGTTGACAAATGTGTGGTACCAAAAATGTGTTTTATATTGGGTTTTAGATCAGAATCTTCTATATTCTTGAACTGCAACTGAAAAAATGGCTATTTTCTGAGTCATTTCTTTGTTTCCTTTGAGTCTAGCATGGCATCATGCACTTCTGTGGTGTCAAAGTCCTTGCTCCTCACATCTGCTTTGCTCCAGAATATGTCTCTGAGGAGGAAAGGAAGAAGATGCTGCTTGCTTGGGCCCAGCGTCTGAAGACTCTTTGGAAGGAGGAACCCATCGACTGCTCTCCTGAATGGTATTTCAAGTAATACTCAGGCACAGCACTATGGAATTAGAATTTTTCCTTTTTTTTGTGCTTTATCTAAATATTTAAATGAATAACTAACCTCATGGCTTGAATATATTACAGATACCTTTCTTGTGTTCTATAGCTAGGAGTTTAGCTGACGATATACCATCTATCTTCAATGCTAGGTGCATAACTCTATTACCCTAAAACATGGGTAGGATGACCTCCTGTCTACTAGTGGCTAGTAATACAAGCAGTATTTTCTTGCAGATTTTATTCATTATGAAACAGTAAATTGCTTTGCCAAATTTGTTTTAACTTTTTGCACTAGCAGTGATTTTGTTTCACTGTCCTGGAAATACTCTGCCCCGACTCAACATAGCTGTGGCACAGGATATACAGCCGCATAGGGACCTAGACAGCTGGAAGCTTGTGGTCAAGCTTTACGCTCCTGCACACATTAAAAACTATATTAAAGCAATATTAAAGCTGCGACAGGTAGAGCTTTCTAAAATCAAGGAGATGTCCCAGTTTTTGTTACTTTGAATAGAGTTAAAAGGGAACCGAATCTAATCCCTGCCCCTTCCTGCGAGTCAGTCCTGCCATTCGGGCTCGGAGGTCCTCGGATGCACCCGGCTTCCTCAGCGTAGGTGGGGACCTCCCCCTCGGGCATGTCCAGCATAGCCCACTGCAATGGCCCTGCAGGAGCCCTGGCCTGGGAACACTGCGACTGCCTGGCTCCTCATTTCTGGGAATTTTAACTTGAACTTCAGTGGAGTGATTTGGATGCCCGAGAATGGTTTGCTTATTTATTTCTGCATAAGGCAAAGGGAAAATTTCTTGCCTAGCTTTACAGTTTCTTACCCTGGTCAAATCATGTCACAGCCAGCTTTGCATTTTGCTATTAAAGGAATGTACCTGGAATAAGAAACACCAATCTTCTGACTCACTTTCAAATCACTCTGCACGCAGAGCAAGTGTCTGACGTGTGTTCCTTGCATCAGCCTTGTTACGTGCTCACCTTTATGTAAGGGCTTATGGGGGACATCATGTGGAGCCCTGGTTCTGGAGGGGCAGTGTGAACAACTCTGTCAGACTGGGAATTGCGAGAGCGGAGGAAGACACTCATAGTCCTGTTTGTCACTCTAAGAAGTGAATGGCCACCTCCAGCAGGGACAACACGGACCCCTGGAGGAAGTGCTGTCCCAAACTGTGCAGCTTTCTGCTGTCGTGTGTGTGACTCAGTCCTCGGGATGTGCAAGCAAGCAATTGCCCTGCGTTCAGAGCTCTTGTGCGTGAAAGTGGAGATGAAGCAAATGGAAAAATCTCTAAAGAGTGAGAGGGGGGAAGGGCACATTCCTGCCTAAAAGAGTTTAAGAACAGTTTCAAATTACATGAAGAGTGAAACAGTGAGTAATCAATCCTTTTGTCTTTCTTATGGTATTTAATCACTTTCCGCCATGAAAATAGTCTCTTTTCCAGGCTGTAAAGTCCTGCCTCCCCTCAGAGGCCATATTTTCATACATTAATTCAGAATATTTTTTCCTTATGTATGTCCATACCTCTATATGCCTTGAGTTTCACCTGCCCAGTCCCTCAGCTGTTACCCCAGAACTCCTCACTGTCTGCTTTCCTTCTCCCGCTCATCTCAGTAATCCCTTCACCAGAAGCCCTTCTCAACCTCGCTGTTCATCTCCTTTTACACCACAGCACTGACCCTAGCAGAACTCCTCTCGTAACCTCCCTCTCGTCCAAGAGCCAAGCATTTATTTGCCCTCTTTGTCCTATTTTAAGGTCCCATGATCTTCCTTTGTAGTTTTTGCCTGTCTAGTTTCTTGAAAAAAAATAGAGCCCTGCGCTGGAGAGAGTCCAGCGCAGGGCTACGAGGATGATCAGGGGCCTGGAACATCTGCCATATGAGCAAAGGCTGAGGGAGCCGGGCCTATTCAGCCTGGAGAAGAGAAGACTGAGGGGGGACCTGATCAGCGTGTATAAATACCTCAAGGGAGGCAGTGAGGAGGAGGGGGCGGCCTCTTTTCAGTGGTGGCCAGCGACAGGACTAGAGGAAACGGCCACAAGCTGAGGCAGCAAAAGTTCCACAGGAACTTAAAGAAATACTTCTTGACAGAGAGGGTGACAGAGCCCTGGAACAGGCTGCTCAGAGAGGTTGTGGAGTCTCCTTCTCTGGAGATCTTTAAAACCTGCTTGGATGCCACCCCATGCCCCATGCTCTGGGTGACCCTGCGTGTGCAGCGGGGTTAGACCAGATGACCTCTGAGGTCCCCTCCAACCTTAAGCATTCTGTGATTCTCTGAAAATATGAAATGTTGTCAAAAGCCACTTGGAAGTGCAAATAAACTGTAAGAGTCAGATCACCATTCTTCACAAGCCCTGACTACTCCAAAAGTAAATTCTTCAGGAATACCATTTCAGTTTGAAGCCACTATAGGAGGGCATCATTTGCAGAGGGGATCAAGAGCCATAAACCTCCACAGTCCTCTCAGTCCTGGTCTCCTCGTGCAGAAACTGTTCCATGTCCCTCATAACTATTTTATTCGCCCGCTTTTTCTTTCTTGTCTAGCCGCACTGCATGTGTTCTGAGAGGAGCTAGCCAGAGCTGGAAGCTGCATTCAGGGTTGGGACACATACCAGACTGAACTGTACAGGCTGAATATATGTAATAACTGGTTAGTTTTTCCTCAGTGGTTAATAAGGAGAGAAAAAGGAAGTAGTAATAATAATGCCTTACCAACACTGGAAATGTTAATAGCCATTTTAATCTAAGGAACGACTGCTCTGCTAAACCGTTTTATACTGAGAGCCAAAAGGAGTCCTGCCAAGACAGCCATTCAGCAGAGTAAAACTGGAATTTGGTAACTTGTATCAATACTCCAGGCTGGGGAGAAGGGTACTAGTTGAAGGCACTTTCACGTTATGGTTAGCCTGGCTCTTTGCCTTCTGTTGGTGCTGGTTTTCCTGTCCCACGTGCTTTCAGGCATCACTCTGGTCATTTTGCCCAAAGATTTGTTCCAAAAGTCAGAACTGTGTTTAATTTATTTGATGAAGTATTCTGAAGTGGCAAGTGAAATATGCTTGCAGCTACAGAAAAACATCCATAAACTGATAGCTCCCCATCTGATCTATGTTATCAAGAAGCCTTATAGTCTAGGGAAACCAAGATGAACTTTTTCCCTTAAGGCACTTCTAATCCAAGTATTAAATACTAAACACTTAAAGGCAGATGTAGACAGTCCCTTCTCTGGTTCAGCTTTGATTCCTGCAGTGACTTCCTTGAAGTTACCCATCTGCTTGCAGAGGAATATACTTTGCCATACATTAACCATCAAGAAGTTGTGCTGAAGGAAAGAACAACCAGGAGTAAATGTTATGCAAAATTCATATGCAAATTAAAAAAAAAAGATCTTGTTATGTTAAAAAATGTTTTAAAGCCAAAAAACAAACATCAAGTAGCCACCGGTGTGACAGACGACCCCAAGAGCAGGGAAGGCTTCTCCCTGGGCTCCTGGGCTGCGGTGCCGGTTGTGCACTGCTGCACACGCCAGCCCTCTGTGGTTTCTGTGGAGTGCACTGCCCGTTTTGTTGTGTTGTTGGGCAGAAGTAGCTAAAACCCTGGCTTCTCCCTGCGAAACTAGTTATACCGCTGTCAGACAGTAGCGGCTAGTGCTTTAGCTTCACAGACTACTGAAAGCTCACAGACAAATCACAGAATCACAGAAGGGTTAAGGTTAGAAGGGACCTCTAGAGATTGTCTAGTCCACCCTCCTGCTCCAGCAGGGACACCCAGAGCACGGGGCACAGGGCGGCATCCAGGCGGGTTTGGAAGATCTCCAGAGAAGGAGACTCCACAACCTCCCTGGGCAGCCTGTTCCAGTGCTCTGTCACCCTCACAGTGAAGAAGCTCTTCCTCACATGCAGATGGAACTGCCTGTGTTTCAATTTGTACCCATTACCCCTTGTAATGTCACTGGCCCCCACCAAGAAGGGTTTGGTCCCATCTTCTTCACACTCTTCTTCCTCCCTACATTCTCCCCTCAGGTATTTGTACGTGTTGATAAGATCCCCTCTCAACCTTCTCTTCTCCAGACTAAGCAGACCCAACTGACTCAGTCTTTCCTTGCATGATAGATGCTCCACTCCCTTAATCATCTTTGTCGCTCTCCGCTGGACTCTCTCTAGAAGCTCCACATTCCTCTTGTGCTGGAGAGCCCAGAACTTCCCCCAATACTCTGGGTGCAGCCTCACCAGAGCTGAGGAGAGGGGCAGGATCCCCTCCCTTGACCTGCTGGCAAATACCTGCCGAGGGTTTTGTCCAGCAATCCTCGCTCTCCACAGTGCTCGGGTAGGGTATTGAGCCTGGAATTAACATTTCAGCATTGACTCTTCTCTGGAGCTGGGAGCATCCTGGGCGAGGACACGCTCCCCCTTGACACCACGCCTCAGTGGTGTCTTTAGCTGTGGGCAAATAGAGCAGCCTCACACTCAGCCCTCACCAACGCAATCCCTGCAGAGCTCCCCTTTCCTGGGGGACAGAGAGCTGGAAACTTTGTGAACAAAATCCGGACCTTTGTACATGTAAAAATGTGAACAAAAATGTTGAAGCCAACTAGAGCAGGACTTCACAAGTGAATAGGAAGGAGTGGAGAACTTGAAAGCTCTGTAGCAAAATATATTATTAGTCTTTAATAATAATAATCTCATCTGGGACCTGACGGGATGCACCCAAGAGTGCTGATGGAACTGTTGGGAGTTATTGCTCAGCCTCTCTCCATCATCTTTGAGAGGTCCTGGAGAGCAGGGGAGGTGCCAGAGGACTGGGAGAAGCCAACATCACTCCAATCTGCAAAAACAGCAAAAGGGAGGAGCCGGGCAACTACAGGCCAGTCAGCCTCACCTCCGTCCCTGGAAAGGTGATGGAGCAGCTCATCCTAGAGAGCATCTCTAGGCATACGAAGGAGAAGAAGGTTTTGAGGAGCAGTCAGCATGGATTCACCAAGGGGAAGTCATGTCTGATGAACCTTATAGCCTTCTGTGATGAGATGACTGGCTGGATGGACAAGGGGAGAGCCATGGATGTTGTCTACCTTGACTTCAGCAAGGCTTTCAACACCATCTCCCATGATATCCTCATATGGAAGCTCCAGGAGAGTGATCTGGATGAGTGCATGATGAGGTGGATCGAGGGCTGGCTGGATGGCAGAGCTCAGAGGGTGGTGATAAATGGGGCCGAGTCCAGTTGGAGGCCTGTGGCCAGTGGTGTCCCCCAGGGGTCAGTACTGGGCCCAGTGCTGTTCAACCTGTTCATCAATGACCTGGACGAGGGCACGGAGTGCACCCTGAGCAGGTTTGCAGACGACACCAAGCTGGGTGGAGTGGCCGACACTCCGGAGGGCTGTGCTGCCATCCAGAGGGACCTGGACAGGCTGGAGAGTTGGGCAGAGAGGAACCTCATGAGGTTCAATAAGGACAAGTGCAGGGTCCTGCACCTGGGGAGGAATAACCCCAGGCATCAGTACAGATTAGGGGTTGACCTGCTGGAGAGCAGCTCCACAGAGAGGGATCTGGGAGTCCTGGTCGACACCAAGTTACCCATGAGTCAGCAGTGTGCCCTCCTGGCCAAGCAGGCCAGTGGGATCCTGGCTGCATGAGGAGGATGTTGCCAGCAGGTCA